CTTTGCGCGAAATTCAAAAACAAACAAACAAACCTCATGTCAGGAAGATTTTGATATAACATATGCGTCACTTGGACAATAAGAAACTCCTGTAAGAGTAGACATGAGCTTCTACACAAACTACTGAAAAGAATGAACTTGCTTAACTATTAAAACATTAAAGGAATTAAGCAGGGAAATCCAGGTGTTGTATTCTCCGCTTTATAACAAACTCATTATTGATGTACTTTTTAATGACTGTGATGTTATTTCATGACTACAAATAAATATAATCCCAGTTATTTGTTTTTCCTGTCCCTTATCTGAGCCTTAGCATCAAAAATCAGATTTATCTATAGAATTCTCTTACTCTCTTATGATTTTAAAGAAATACAATGAAAATAATACTGACAAAAATATTCATATAATTTTAGATGCTATACGTAAAAATGTTTTACATGCTACAGGAACGTTTTATCAGGATGTTTTCTCAGAAACCTCTGTTACGGAGATATTTGAAATTTTCACAATCGCCGTCCTTGATTGCAATGAATTTTATTTACTAATCATCGCACAATAGAAAAAAAATCTCCTATAGAGAAAATGATTAATTAATGTTTTAATCAAGCCACTCAAAAACGTATTGGACGTTTATTTGTCATTCACTAGAACAACCCACTAAGTGGCGCATTACCTTCAGCAAAGAAGATGACCAAATAAATTATAAATAATCCTTTCATAAACGTGTCAGGTGTTATAGGTATTTACTTGGTAATATCCAAAACAATTTACTTGCACACACATACACCGCTAAATCATTGTTCCAGTAGGAAAAGCAAAGTTCTAATTAAGTATTTCACAAACTTCACAAATCTTAAAAGAATTGACTTGCTACTTCCCAGACGATATCACCCACCCAATACGAAACCATCAGTGTAAAGAAAATGACTAAGGAGATTTGAAATGGCTTAAATCATGATAAAGTTTACTTAGTTACCTGAGCTGACTTATTTCACAGCTCTGAAGATCCTAGTTGAAAACGTCGCTCACTCCAGTGTGTTCCACACCATCCCTCCCAGTAGAAAAGTGATTAACACGCGTTGAAATTGGACAACTTCCAAGTTATTCGTTTTAAATAACTTCTAAATCCCCAGCTCAAGGGAAATAATTAATATGGAATGAAGTGTCGTAATCATAAGGTTTTTCTGTACAAATATTCTGAAAATAGTGGCTAATTACAAACTATTTCCAGAATTATATAATATGCACACGCTATTTGCATACACATTTATGTATCAAACAAAAGTAAGCTCAATTCTCAGTTGACTACCCTCTTTGATAAAGATATTTTCAATTATAAATCCTGACTTATTGAGAATGACGTTGTAACGTCGAAACATGTAGAGTCGTCAACTTTTTTAAGGCCATAGATAAACCTAAATAAAATGTTTTTTAATTGTGTACCAGCTTAACGTTCAATATTATTTATGATTTTTTTTGCAATTATTTTTAAAACGCCTGAAAGGTAATGTCTCCCGAACTTTCTCAATATTAGAATATTCAATTATTTTAAACAGGGTAACGTTTGAGCTGTTTCATTTAAAAAAAATTTAAGCTATTTAACTTAAATTTATTATATTTTTGCTTTTTTATTTCTTTAAGTGATTATATTTAATAATTGTTTTTAAAATTATTACAGGAAACTCATTCTAAATTATATATTTTTATTGTTTATTTGCTAAGGTTTAAAAATGAAAGTGATATTGCATGATGACGATTAATGTATTCGTGCGAAAAACTACCTCAATAAATCTATTTTATTCTTACATAAACCGTACTGAAAATCAACCTTTATGTCTGTTATACAGCGCATTGAAAACGTTAAAAAATACATTGTCTTAATTGTGTACATTCAGCCCATAATTACTGTTCCAGAGAACCATTTTGAACGACTTCTAACAATTTCGACATTCTTACCTCAAGTACACGATTATATTCTGAGATTTGTTTTACCTTGAATTATATTAGCAGAAAACTAAGTAAACAGGCAATAAACTCCTCGCAGCCCAAATTTTGTCGTTATTTCTTGTCATCTGAAACCTTCGCCTTAATTTCGTATTACTAGACCTATTTTGTTGCTGTTCTTGCTTCCTAAGGTCTGTCACAACCAATAATACCACTCATTTTCTGGCCACTGTGTTTATAACGCATATATAGTACAACTCCTCCTTAACACAACTATTATGTGTGTATAACACAACTGTTGTATATATATGTGTATAACAACTTTATATAACATAACTGTTATGTGTGTATGGGTATATGTATAACAACTTTATATAACATAACTGTTATGTGTGTATGGGTATATGTATAACAACTCCTACATAACACAACTCTTGTATGTATATATATATATATATATAACTTTTCATAAGTGTATGGTTATCGTTGATACATAGCTTAGACAGAGTATTCATATTGGGTTGACTGTGAAATGGGTGACAACTGTTAATTAGAGAAACCCTTGTAAAAATATATTGATGACTATTATACAATCTACTCATGCAACACAAATATAGAGGGCGACGTTTCGAAAGTCTTTCGCTTTTTATCTTCATTATCAATTTGCTTTTGAATTTCACACAGTCAGTCAGTTATCTCTGTAACACCAAATGTGGAGTTCCCTCCCTCCTTTTCCACCAGCTGTATATTGTGACTTCCCCTTACACTTACCACCACGTTCACACTCGTCCCACGTTTTCATGTGCCCATTCGCTTTCGTTTATTTTCTTATTCGTTCATTGAAGAAAATGTCTAAAATACTATAACTGGTTCTGGACAAGTCCGCTTTAATTTAACTACAGAAATGGTGTGGAGCTGTTGGCATAATGGACAAACTTACTACATATAATTTATGTTAACTACTGAATATCTTGAAACTTTGTTGTATCGTACAGAAAAGCCAGTTCAGTAAAACGACTTGAATTTATCTCAACAAGATTACTATCCAAACCAAACACAATGTTTGTAGAAATGCCATTCCATGCATGTTTAAACTATACCTGAAATTACTGTATACTATTTGGGTGTCTTGTTTATTTTACACCAACATATATAGTTATTCAAGAAAACGTCTCATTGTTGTTATTTTAGAGCAAATCTACACAACGAGCTATCTACGCTCTATCCCCGGATTTTAACGTTGTAAGTTTGCATGTTTTAAAGCAAAGCAACATTTGACTACTGGCTGTGTCCATCGCAGGTAACCGAACCCCGGATTTTAACGTTGTAAGTCCGTAGATTTACCGTTGTCCCACCGGGGTCTTAACGTTTTGCGGCCAAAAAACAATCTGCATACATACTGTGTATTATTTACAGGAGCTGTAGTTTAGCGATATTCCACCTTCTGTAGCTCGGACTGTGGTAATCGAAACTATCATATATTTTCATTGGATGTGCTCTACTGGACTCTTACTTCACATACCAAATTTCAAGGCAATCCATTAAAAAATAGTTGAGATATAACATCTCCAATTGTGATTGAGTTTCTTCCTTCTTTTTTTTTCTTCGCACCAAAAGTACGAAACTTTATTTGATAGAAAATATACTTACCTTTTATGGAGTTTTCCTTCAAGTTTGGTACACTGACAGATCTTTACAACTTACAATTAGAAGTTCCCATTTGGTGTGAATATAAATCACATGTACAAAATTATTCAACAAAAACCGCTCAAATTTAACGAACATTTTTGCGCACGCCTACGCAAAAAGTCACGTGAGCTGCCGGTCTAACGTTTTTACCACAACTTTACCTAAGAGTAAAAGTGGTCCGTTTTTAATTTTTTGTCATTCCGATTAAAGAGCAGCAAAACTATAAGGTGAAAAGACGTGCAGATAAATATGTATTGGTTAGGCCAAGCAAACTAGATTAGCAGTTTCTATTTTCGAAAGAATCGTACGGGTGGACGGTTATTAATGATTATTCATTGGCAACATTTCAGCACAAATTTACAAAACTTTATGAAATTATCTTAATTAAAGAGCATATAGCGTCAGGCGATATTAGCTTAATCAATTAGCATAGCTAATGAATGAATATTTGTTATAAAATTCTTATCAATTCTATAAGTGTAGCTACCAGTCTCACTGCCAATTTTGATTTACTCCTTTAAGTCGCGCACTAAATCCTTTCTTGATCACACCTTTTTTCACACCTTAGGTGTTTTTGATTATATATATATATAT